AGCAGAATCCAATTGCCGCGTCTGAAGTCCGCTTTCTACCCTTTCGGCCCACCTGAGGCTCCACTGAAACTCAGTCTGACCGACATCAATTGGTCTAACGCACTGGCTCAGTTTCTCCTGTTCCCTTTGTAGCAAGGCTTTCGGCAAGCAATACTGCAGTTTATTAAGAACTGGGCCGGTCTTTAATACAGATGAATCAAGAAAAGCTCAGAAAGGAAAGGCAAAGGAGAAATTGTGTCCATGGGGAATTTATTATGGGTCAGTGATGATGACAGGTAACTTTATACACATCATCACACATGGGGCAGGGGATACCTCATTTTATAAGGGAGAAAAAGTTCAAGGTCACACAACTCATCTGTATCCCCTTTTGGCTCCAAGGACAAGGATGATGCCACTGTGTATGTTCTGGGTGGCTCTTTGCTCATAGATTCTTTAGAAATTAACATGATAGCTGAATGCTGATTTTTTTTCTTCAGATAATTGACATTACTAAAATGTAAAGCCTCTGTAAATCTTTGTTCAATAATTTTATGAAAGAACACATTAGTCGGGATGCTTTTATAGTTACAGAAGCCAAATTAATTAGGCTTAAGCAATGAGAGAGACTAACAAAAGTCGAGAGAATGCTGGAGCCAGAGGATCGTAGTGTAACCGAGTCTGTCTCCAAGTGTCAGCTCTGCTTTTGGAATATGAACATCATTCTCAAGCACCCTGTCCACCTGGAGGCCAAAATCTGCACACCCCCGCAGCTCCAGTATCCCATACTCCTTCCAGAGAGTCATTCCAGAGGAAAGAATATTTCTTTCCCAATAACTCCAGCAAAAGTTCCCTGACGCAGCCGACTGGCCAGCTTGTCACCCCTGATGCCAGCGCTCCTCATCGTGGGGCTGCTCCTGGGAGCAGGGGGCAGGTCCGAATTCTCCAAAGACAAGTGGAACGTGCCTGAAGTCTGCTCCAGAGCAAGAAGTATCTCTAGGTGAAGTGTTAATATTGTCCCAGAGCAGCCTCTTTATGCTTTGTCCTTCAGTAATGTGTGCAGGCATGCAGATTTTATTTAAAAGCAAAAGGAAGCTAAGAAGGACATTTTAAAACCTAGTTTCTCAAAAAGGCTGCATGAATAAGTGAACTCTTGTAATCTGAGTGTTATAGAACAGTGATTTTTCAAACTGAAGGTCCCAACCCTTTAGTGAGTTATGAAATCAGTTTAGGGGGTCGTGACCAGCACTTTGAAATATAGTAGAAAATATCTGTGTGTAGCACAAAGTAAGGTTATTTTTGTTTCAATTTATCTATCTACCAGTGCGTTTGGGGTTACAAGGTAAAATGTATTCCTTCCCAGGTTTGCTGGTTCATCCACTCTGACTGAAGACAGATGGGCACCTGGGTGATGGCTGGAGCCTGGGAGGTGACTCACTCAGGATTCCTTAGAATCCTCCAGTCCCAGCTCTGCTCCCTCCACGGCGTCAGCCCTTAGGCAAGTCACGATGCCTATGCGTCTTCATTTTCTCATCTGTCAGGTGAGCCTAATGCCTATCCTTCCTGCCTCATGGGATTGTTGGAAGGATCCCATGAAACCCTGCTCTTAAACACTGGCAGGAACTCCGTAAGTGTAAGTTGTAATGATTCTTATTCTCGGTAAGTGAAAGTGCTTGGAACTGGCAGTCCCTCTGGGACACTTAAGGAAAGGTAAATCAAGTAGTAGAAACTAAAACCCATGCCTTTTGAAAAAGTAGTGCTTTTCCACAAATATTGCTTCCAAACTACTAAGCGCGGTTAGTTTCTGGAAGACGGGGGTGGATTTAAGAGTCCTGGCTGTAGCAGGGTGGAACCCTTCCCGATTCCACGGGAAGGGGGCTTCGTTCACGAGGAAGTCCCCATCCCTGGCCCTGGCACTCAAACACCCCCCGTGCGGCTCTGCAGAGCTGACCCACGTACTTCCTGCCCTGAAGGTACTTTATCCACCTTGCCTGCTGCCTCTGGGGAAGAAGTCCTTGTGGTGGTCGAGTGGGACCAAGGGTGGGGTTGCGGAGTCCATGTGACTGTGAACCCCAGGGGTGAGTTGATAGCTGGTGAAGAGGCAGAAGGTGGAGGTGAGGGTCTTAATGGATCTGACGAGCCTTTAGGTTTGGGGAGAGAGCGGCTGGGCTTGCCTTGTGGTCACCACGATGAAGCCCCTCATGCAGCGTCGTCCTTACAACTCGGTCTCCTCATCCTGCAGTCCTGCTGGGAATTGCTGAGCATTTCATTCAGGTGCCTAAAAGAAACTCACTGAGGAGACCTGGAGGGATGGTCTGAATGGGCTGGGAGGGATCAGGGAAGGTTGCTAGGGCAGCTGTGTTCTGAGGCATTTCTAGAAGGAAGGAAGGAATGATCTATGACGTACTATGGAGGGACTATCCCAAGGGCAGAGCGTGCACAGTTGGTTGGGGCATGAAGAAGGGGCCAGCTGGCTTGAGGAGAGGGGTCTCCTATATGGCAGAAGGGGTAGGATTTTTTTTTACACATTATGAGAATGTCTAAGTTTGACATGAGAAGCTCCTAAATTTGCAAAGAAAGGATATATACCCACCCTCCTTCAATATCAGAAATGACATGGTGGGCATTAAAAATAATTACTTGGCAAAGAGCTTTACAGTTTACAAGATGCATTCATGCAGTTAATATTTGAGTGTCTGTTATGTGCCAGGTATTCCCCACTTCACCCCGGGAGAAAGTCCATTTTACAAATGAAGAAACTGAGGCTCAAAAAGTATGTGAACCTGCCTAAGGTTGCATTCTTCTTGAAGATCATGAGAGTAAGCTCCTGCTGCCTGAACTCCTCTGATATCATAATAGGCTCAAGAAATAGGCATCTATCATTGTGTCTGGTTGGCAGAATCTGCCTTTAGGTAAGGAAATGGATCACGTGGTCTCGATGAGCCACTTAACACCTTTCTAGAGACAATCTAGAAATACTCCTGAAGAACCCAGCCTGAGCCCTGGTTCCACTTTTCCACTCCTTTCTTCTCTGGCACCCCAGGACACACTTGGCAGTGGGCAGCCTCTCCCCTTGGTCTCTAATTCCTATTCTTGGAGTGGCACCCTGGCTTCCACTCAAAGCAGAACTGGGTGGCCTTAAAAATAAATGCAGGGGTGGGGAGAGGGGATTGGCTGCATGAGGGGGTGACAAATATTTCTATCATGATCATGGCATTGGTTACATTTATAAAACCCCTTGAATTATACACCAAATTGGTAAGTTTTATTGTATGTAAAGTATAGCTCAATAAAGTTGATTTTTAAAAACTCAATGTACAGTTCAGATATGTGTATTCTTTGTGTGTAATTCTATATCAAAAGAAAAAACTAAACATAAACTCAAACATAAGTTAATGGTGTACATAGCTGAAGGATTTAGGGACAAAGTGTACTAATGGCTGCAGTTTACATTGAAATGCATAAAGGTAATGTGTCTTAATGGATGGATAGGTATATGATAAAGCAAGTATAGGAAAATTTAATTGTACAATCTAGGTTGCCACTGTAAAATTCTTTCAACTTTGGTGTATGTTTGAAAATTTCATTATAAAATGTTGCAGGGGAAACCAAGTACCTTCAGGTTTCTAGCAAGGCCGAATAGCTCCTATTGAACCAATTTGTTCACAAAAAATATAAGCTCCGGGGGGCAGGCCCCGTGGCCGAGTGGTTAAGTTCACACGCTCTGCTTCGGCGGCCCAGGGTTTCACCAGTTCAGATCCTGGGTGTGGACATGGCACCACTCATCAGGCCATGCTGAGGCAGCGTCCCACATGCCACAACTAGAAGGACCCACAACTAAAAATACACACCTATGTAACGGGGGGCTTTGGGGAGAAAAAGGAAAAATAAAACCTTTAAAAATAAATACATATATAAGCTCTGGGAAGAAACTTCTTTAAAAACCAACTACTGAAAGTGACCCCAAAGCAGGCAGAAACTGGAGCAAGTCAACAAATGGAAGAAAAGCACTGCACTGGGTGAGTTTCCTGTTTTTTGTTTTTTTTTTTTTAACCACTTTGGGCGTGAGGTCAGGTCTCAGTCTGCACCATGAATGTCAGGGAAACCTCCAGTGGAAAATCTACAGTCTTGCTGGCTTGAAGACCCAGGGTACAGGGTTTGGAGCAACCACAGCCCCTGAGAGTGAAGAGGGAAACAGCAGAAAAGAGAGAGCTAGAGAGGGGACTCCCAAATTCTGTATAAAAATGCTGCTCAGATCTCTGGCTGACCAGAGCAGGCAACTGTGCATGCACAGCGATGGCAAGAAGAACTGAACTAAAATTTGAGCTACTTCCCACTGCAGGGGAGACAGTTTTGCAGTTGAGTTCAGCTAAGTTAACTGCCTGTTTAAAAATAATATTCAATTCTTTTCAGAGGAACATAAAATCCAGAGTTTCTATAACATCATAAATTATACATCAATTACAATGCCCAGGATATAATTCACAATCGTTCAATATACAAATAAACAGAAAAGCATGGCTCATTCTCAAAAGACAAGCAAAGGAGACCAGCCCCAAGAATTTCCAAAGATTTTAAAACAGCCATTAAGATTATGTTCAAGAATGTAAAAAAAGATTTTCATATTGAATGAAAAGACGGTAATCTCAGCAGAGTAATAGAAGTTATTTTTAAAGAACTAAATGGAAATCTTATAACTGAAAAATACAATATCTGTGTGTTGGGGGGAAAAAAACCAATTTTCCCTTCCATGTGTCTCCTTCACTCTCACTTTCCTATCACAGTGACAACACTTCTGGTCACCAGATGTGTGGGAGCTTTTCCCACATCAAGCAATTCTGCAACACCAGCTGGGTGTCCTACACTTTAACTCAATTCTTTTTTTTTAATTTTTCTCCCCAAATCCCCCCAGAATATAGTTGTATATTTTAGTTGTGGGTCCTTCTAGTTGTGGCATGTGGGATGCCACCTCAACTCCACGCCCAGGATCCAAACCTGCGAAGCCCTGGGCCGCTGAAGCAGGGTGCATGAACTTAACCACTCGGCCATGGGGCCGGCCCCTACAATTTAACTCAATTCTGATACTATCTCCCTGAAGATAGTGCGAGGTTCCACAGGTTAAGGGCTCGCTCCCACAAGGCTGCTCCCACTTTAGATGCCAATCACAAGTCCAGGTTGCCACCTCTACTTCTGCCCAATTGACTACAAATCAGAGGTTCCCATGACCCACCCCTTGGGTTCAACTAATTTGCTAGAGTAGCTCACAGAACTCAGGGAAACACCTGCATTTACCCATTTGTTAAGGGATATAATAAAGGATACAGATGAACAGCTAGATGAAGAGATACATAGGGCGAGATCTAGGAGGGTCCCGAGCACAGGAGTTTCTGTCCCCCTGGCGTTGGGGTGTGTCACCCTCCCAGTAGGTGGATGTGTTCGCCAACCTGGAGGCTCTCTGAACCCCATACTGTGGGGATTTGATGGAGGCTTCCTCACGTAAGCATGATCCATTATTAACTCCGTTTCCAGCCCCTCTCCACTCTCAGGAGAATGGGGTGAGGCTGAAAATTCCACCTTCTAGTCATGGCTTGGTCTTTCTAGTGACCAGCACCCATCCAGGAGCCACCTGGAGTCACCTCATTAGAACAAGAGCTTCTCCAAGTGTTCTTATCCCTTAGGAATTTATAAGGGTTTTAGGAATCCATGCCAGGAATGGAGGCAGAGAGCAGTATATATAAATATATATATATATATATATTTTTTTTCCTATTAACTCATAATCTGATTTAAAAGCTTGACTAGAAGGGCTTAATAGCAGAATGGAGATGACAGAGGAGTCAGGGAACTTGAAGATAGGTCAATAGAAATGATCCAATCTGAAGAACAAAAAGAAAACATTGAAAAAAAGGGAGGGGGACTAGGAACTCAGATGTAACTTAGATGTAATTGGAATCCTAGGAGAAGACAAGTAAGTATGGGGCATAGAAAATATTTGAAGAAATAATGGCTAAAAATTTCCCAAATTTGGTGACAGACATAAAGTTACAGATTCAAGAAGTTCAGTGAATAAGCAGCAGGATTAATACAAAGAAAACCCCACTGGGTGCATTCTAGTCAAGCTACTGAAGACCAACTTAAAGAGGAAATCTTGAAAGCAGCTAGAGGAAAGGGGAACAAGGATTTGAATAACCACTAACCTCTCATCAGAAACTTTGAAGACCAAAGGACAGTACAACAATATCTTGAACATGCTGAAAGAAAAAAAAAAAAGTCCCCTCAGAAATCTATATCCAGTGAAAATATCCTTCAAGAACGAAGATGAAACAAGCACATTTTCAGATAAGGGAAAACTAAAAATGTGTAGATCTGCAATACAAGAAATGCTGAAGGAAATTCTGCAGACTGAAGGGAGAGTATACCAAAGAGAAACTCAAATATTCAGGAAGGAAGGAAAGCCATCGAGACAGTAAATATCTAGGTAAATATAAAAGACTACTTTCTTCCCTCTTCCTTAAAATATATATTATGGTTTAAACAAAAATTGTATTGTGAGGTTTCAGCACACGGAGATGTGATTTGAATGACAACCGTAGCATAGTAGATGTGGGGAAGAAGGTGGGAAGCGAACCTGTACAGCTGCAAGGTTTCTATATTTTACACAAAGTGGTACAATATTAACTCTCAGAGAGCTGTGAAAAGTTAATCCCTAGAGCAGCCACTTAAAACATAATGCAAAGAGATGGAGCTAAAAAGTCAATAGATAAAGTGGAATTCTAAAAAATATTCAGTTAATCCAAAACATGGGAAAGGAGGAACAGAGGAAAAAAAAGCAATGGGGGCAAACCAAACAAATAGTGAAATGGTGGACCTAAATCCAGTCATATAAATCACTACATTAAATGTAAATGGTCTCAACCATGCTGCCTACGATGATGGCCACAAGCCACGTGTGATATTTAAATTATTAATATTAAATTAAAAATTCAGTTCCCCAGTTGTGCTTAAGTGCTCAATAGTCACCACCGTATTAGACTACAATATTGAACTGCACACGTATAGAATATTTCCGTCATTGCAGAAGTTCTATTGGACAGTATTGGTCTGATCCATCCAATTAAAATGTGGAGATTGTCAGAGCTGACCACACACACAAAAAGACCAAAATGTATGCTGTTCATAACAAATCCACTTTAAATACATAAAGACATAGGTCAAAAGTCAATGGAAAAGATACCATGCAAATGTTAAGTAAAAGAAGCCTGTGGTGACTACATTAATATCAGATAAAGTATACTTCAAGGCAAAGGGTATTACCACAGATAGGGAGAGAAATTTCATAAAAGTAAAAGCCTCACTATATCAGGAGATATAATCGTCATAAATGCTTATACTTAATTATAGAGCTTCAAAGTACCTGAAACAATTGACATCATCAAAGGGAGAAACAGACAATTCCACAATCACTGAGCTGGTGAGTTTAATACTCCCCTCTCCTCAGTTGATAGAATACCTAGAACAAACAGAAGATCTGAAAAACACTATCAACTACCTTGACCTAATTGACATTTATAGAGCACCACACCCAACAGCTGCAGAATACACATTTTCAAGCGCATACGGTGCATTCTCTAAGATAGACCGTATGCTGGGCCATAAAACAAGCCTCAAATTTAGAAAGACTGTAGCATATTGAATATGGTTCTCTGACCACATTGAAAATGTTAGAAATAATTTGTCTTTAAAAACAGATATTTGGAAAGTAACACAGTTCTAAATAATTCATGAGTCAAAGAAGAAAAATTTAGAAAATATTTTAAACAAAATTATATGAAAATACAACATACCAAAATTTCTAGGATGCAGCCAGCATAGGGCTAACAGGGAAATTTATAGCTTTAAAACATTAACATTAAGGGGACTGGCCCTGTGGCTGAGTGTTTAAGTTTGTGCGCTCCACTTCAGCAGCCCAGAGTTTCGCCAGTTTGGATCCTCAGCATGGACATGGCACCACTCATCAAGCCATGCTGAGGCGGCATCCCACATAGCAGAGCCAGAAGGACCTACAACTAGAATATACAACTACGTACTGGGGGACTTTGAGGAGGAGGAGAAGAAGATTGGCAACAGATGTTAGCTCAGGTGCCAATCTTTAAAAAAAAAAAAAGAAGAAAAGAAAAAAGTGCTCACATAAGAAGAAAGGTGTAAAATCAGTGATTTAAGAATTCACCATAAGAAGCTGAAAAAAGAAGTAAAGTCAAAAGGAAGTAGAAGAATGAAAATAAGAGTAGGAACCCCAAGTGGAATTTATCCCAGAAATGCAAGGTTAGCTTAACCCTAGAAAAGCAATCAATGAAATTCAGCATATTAATAGAATAAAGGAGAAAATAATATGATCATTGTACTAGATGCAGAGAAAGCATTCGACAAAATTCAGGATTCATTCACGTTTTATTTTTTAAAAAGCTCTCAGAAAACTAGAAACAAAATAAAAGGAAACTTCCTCAACCTGATAAAGGGTATCTATGAAAAACTCACAGTTAACATCATACTTACTGGTGAAAAACTGAAGGCTTTCTCTACGATCACGAACAAGACAAGGATATCTGGTTCCTCCTCGTCTATTCAGTGTTATACTGAGGTCCTAGCCACTGCAGTAAGTCAAGAAAAAAAAAGATAAATATCAGAAAGGAAGAAGCAAAACTCTATTTCAGATGACATTATTTACATAGAAAATCCTAAAGGAATCAACTACTATAACTAGTGAGTGAATTTAGCAAGGTTGTAGGAACCAAGTTAATTTGCAAAATTCATTTGTATTTTATATACTACTGTAAACAATTAGAAAATGAAATCTTGATATTACATTTACAATAGCATCAAAAAACAAAATACTTTAGAATGAATTTATAAAACGTGCAAGATCTCTATGTGAAAACTTGCTAAGAAGACTGAAATAAACGTAGTGATATGCCTCATTTATGAATTAAGATGTCAGTTCTCCCCAAAATAGATCCAACATAATCCTAACCAAGATCCCACAAGGCTTTTTTCTGATGAAATTAACAAGCCGATTCTACAATTTTTATGAAAATGTAAAGGTCTTGTAATATAAAAAAAAAAAAATCTTAAAAAAGAGCAAAGTTAGGGGCTGGCCCTGTGGCTGAGTGGTTAAGTTCGCACACTCCGCTGCAGGTGGCCAAGTGTTTCATTGGTTCGAATCCTGGGCTCAGGCATGGCACTGCTCATCAAACCACGCTGAGGCGGCGTCCCACATGCCATAACTAGAAGGACCCACAATGAAGAATATACAACTATGTACCGGGGGACTTTGGGGAGAAAAAGGAGAAAAATAAAATCTTTAAAAAAAAAAAAAGAGCAAAGTTGGAGGGCTCACACTTCCTGACTTCCAGATAAAGCAAAAGTAATCCAAATATCATGGTATTAGCATAAGGAAGGCAAATAATGAGCAGGATACAGATTTCTGAAATAAATTCACTCTTACTTGTCCTTTCAGGAAATGTCACTGAAATAACTGGATATGCATATGGACAAAGTAAACCTTGACTCTTACCTCACACTATACAGAAACAAACTTAAAATGGATCATAGACCCAAATATAAAAGCTAAAACTATAAAATTTCTAGGGGAAAAAAACCAGAAAAACAAAACCTATGCAAGCTTGAGGGAGGCAATGATTTCTTAGCATGCAAAGAAGACCAGACATAAAACATTGACAAATTGGACCTCACCAAAATTAAGAACTTATATCCATCAGAAAATATCTTTAGGGGGCTGGCCCCATGGCCAAGTAGTTAAAGTTCAGTGTGCTCTGCTTTGGTGGCCCAGGTTCACAGGTTTGGATCCTGGGTGCAGACCTACTCCACTCATCAAGCCATGCTGTGGGGACATCCCACATACAAAACAGAGGAAGACTGGCACAGATGTTAGCTCGGGGCTAATCTGCCTCAAGCAAAAAAAGAAAAAAAAAAGGAAGATTAGCAACAGATATTAGCTCAGGGCAAATCTTCCTCACCAAAAAAAAAAAAAGAAAAAGAAAAAAGAAAATATCTTTAACAAAATAAACAGGCAAGCCAGAGATTGGTAGAAAATATTCACAAGATCTGAGAAAGGATTGGTGTCCTAGATATATAAAGAATCCCTATAACTCAATACTGAAAAAGAGAAAATTTTCTTAATGGGCAAAATATTGTATCAGGGAAATACAAATTGAACCATGAGATACCACTACACACCAACCAGTCTGTTTAAAATTAAAATGATCGATACTGTCAAATGTTTACAAGGATGTGGAGCATCCAGAACTATTGTACATTGCTGGTTGGTACAGCTACTTTGGGAAAATGTTAGGCAGCTTCTTATAAAACTAAATACATACCACAATTCCACTCCTAGGTATTTACCCGAGAGATATGAAAACATCCCCACACATACTTGGACAAGAATGTCCCTAACAATTTACTATAGTCAAAAATTTCTAACAGCCCTGGTTTCTATAAATAGAAAGAGAATGAATTAAACTATGATATAGTCAAATAATTAAAAACTAGGAGTAAAAATGAATAAATTACTAAGATATATAACATGAACAGATCTCAAAAACATAAAACTTTACACAAAAGAGTACATAACTGTATAATTCCATTTATATGAAGATCTAGAACAAGCAAAACTAAGTTCTATAAAGGCAAAACCAATCGATGGTAGAAAAATTCAAAACTGATTTTCCCTGGAGGAATGTGAGTGGTGAATTTGCTGCGAAGGGACATATGGGAACGTGACCTGTTGATGACATTTGGTTGACAGGTTGGATAGGCAGGAGTTTAGTTTGCAGTTGTCAGAATTCATCTGATGGTACACTTGAGATTTATGCAATTCATTGTATGTAAATCTACCCCAAAAGAAAAAAATTGGTAAATAAATATTGAACTCTAGTTAATGATATGCAGGAGAAGTATGGGGTAGGGGTGGTGGGGGGGAATACCAATGTCTACGACTTACTTTGAAGTCATCCAAACAAGATCGATGATGGGTGGAAGGAAGGAGGGATAGATATGTAATAAATCGGGTATAGTAGAAAGCTCACTGTAGAATCTAGGTGGTGAGTATATGGGTGTTCACTGTAAAATTCTTTCAACTTTATGTCTGAAATTTTTCATAATAAAATGAGTGGGGAGAGTAATTGCAGGACTCACCCTGGGTGTATACGAGTTGTCCCCCTAAAGCTCTTGCCCCCAGTAGGCTGGATAAAAGAGGAGCGTTCGGGAGTGGATAAGAGAGCTGAGAGGCGTAGAAGAGCATCAAGGCTTCTGATGGCAGATGTACTGGAATCCAGAGCTGTGTGTTTCTTTATTCTCTGTTCCTGGTGAGTAGAGGTGGGTGGGTGGGCTCTGAGCCTGGGACCACACTCAGGGAAATTCTACTTCGTTCGAAGATGCCCACGCATCCATTCCTTAATGTATCCATATTCCCTCGCACATGCCAGGGGCTGGTGATTCCGGAGGGGCCGCCTGTGGCTCGGTACACAGGTGGGGCGAGATGTGTCTGAAGGGCACAGAGCGCCCTCTTCTGGCCCGTGAGGGGCCGCACAGGTCAGCTAAGCACCTGACCACCTCTTCAGCACCCACTACCCGAATCTGCACGCCCGGGATGGGAGCGCTGAAGTCCCCGGGTGGACCCGCCGACAGCAGACCATGAGCAGGCGGAGACTAGCGCTGGGGGCGGCCCCGCGCGTCCGGGAGGCGGGGGACGGGGTGGAGTCGCTGCCGCTGGCAGCCGCTCAGCTCCACCTGTTGCAGCGTCGGAGCGGGCCGGCCAGGCAAGGCAGAGCCCGGCGCGGACTTCTGCCCCCCCGCGCCGCTCTGCAGGGCAGGGCTGCAGCGAGGAGGGGGCGCTCCCTGGGAGGTGAGACTCGAGCGCGGCTTCGGCGCCCCTGAAAGGCGGGGTCTCAGGGAGGGGGCCCGCGCCGTTTGCTGGGGAGCCTTGCCGCTGGTCTGCCTGGGGTAGGGGAAAGCACTCTGCGCGGAGACCTGTCGGCGCGAGCTCTGGAGCGCACCGAGGCAGCCAAGGCCAGGTGGAGGAGATGGAATTCTCCGGGGTCACGGTCTCCTGGCCGCGGGCCCCTCCAGCCCCCGGTCCTTGACAGCCTCCCCAGGAGCTGGGGCGGGCTTGCAGAGCGCGCTCCGCGCCTGCAGCGCCGACACGTGGGGGCGGAAGACGCCCCCGCGCAGACCCGGAGGCCAAGGGCGTTCTGGTCCCGGCCAGGCGAGGGAGGCTGCCCGGGGGAGATGCCCCTAACTTCCTTTGCGCCCTCATTCCAACCTCCCTTTCTGGTCTCCTTCTCCAGCTGGTCCGCTCGCTGGATGCTGCGCAGCTTGGGGGCCGGGCGGGAGATCGGAAACCGAGGCCACCGCTCCGCACAGTCCCACTGTCCGTGCGCCCGCCCGGGACCTGCTCCAGCTTCAAAGCCAGGCAGCCGGGTCGGTGAACCGAGACACCTGAGGCTCCACGCGACGCCAAGACTGGGACGCAGCACCACGGATCCATCTGGGGAGGTACCTCCAAAGCCAGCCGACTGAGACCCCGCGTCCTAGCCGTCGGCGGCTTGAGAAGCAACGATCCAAGAGACGGAGACCGCGGGGCTCGGCTTACCCGCCAGCCTCCCAGGCCCCCAGACCTTGGCTTCGGGGAAAACTCAAGCCCGCCGCAGTTCGCCCTGAAGACGCGCCACGCCCCCCTCCCCAATCTGAGCGGGGCCGGTGCCAGGGTGGAAAGAGCGCGCGCATCCTCGTGCCAAGCAGAAGCTGACTCCGCGCCGGGCTCCTCGGACCGTCAGCGTTTAGGAGAACACCTAGGCGGGCGGGGACCGCAGTGTAAAAGCAGATTTGAAACCAGGAATCAAGGCGGACGTGGAGAACTGGCGCCGCTGGAGCGCTCGGGGCGGCGGCCGCGGGAGCCGCGCAGCCTGGGGGAGCGCCCGGCGGTCATGGGCGAGGCGGCCAGCGGGCGTCCGGGGACGGGCTGAGCATCCCGCCGAGCTCCGACCTCCTGGGCGGCTTGGGCGAGAGTCAGCCCGCGCTCACGGCCGTCCGGCGTGGGGCTGCCCCCGGGGGACCGGCCATGGCTGGTCGGGGTTGCGGCTGCAGCTGCGGCCCAGGCCACCTAAACGAGGACAACGCGCGCTTCCTGCTGCTCGCCGCGCTCATCGTGCTCTACCTGCTGGGCGGCGCCGCCGTCTTCTCCGCGCTGGAGCTGGGGCACGAGCGCCAGGCCAAGCAGCGCTGGGAGGAGCGCCTGGCCAACTTCAGCCGCCGCCACAACCTGAGCCGCGACGAGCTGCGCGGCTTCCTCCGCCACTACGAGGAGGCCACCGAGGCCGGCATCCGCGTGGACAACGCCCGCCCGCGCTGGGACTTCACGGGCGCCTTCTACTTCGTGGGCACCGTCGTGTCCACCATAGGTAAGTGGGATGGGCGGAGGGCGGCCGGATTCACTGGCCTTTCCCCTGCTGGGTGCTTCTTAACCTTGCATCTATTTACCCCTCCGCTCAGCCCGGCTGCAGAGATGTGAGTTGTTACCTGATCAACAGGTGGTTTTGCCTCCCTGCCTCTCTAAATGTGGTCCACCGACCAGCTGCCTCGGCGTCACCTGGAAGCTGCTTATAAATGCAGCCTCAGCCCCTCCCCCAGATCTTCTGAGTCAGCATCTGCACGCCGTCAAAGTCCCCAGGGGCTTTGAATAAGCCTTAATTGAAGATGCTCTGCTCTGGGAGATTTTCAGTCTAGTTAAGGAGACAGAGCTTGAGTTCACGGAACTTCAGGGAGAAGGCTTACACATCAGGACAGGAACCTGTAAACATTTATTGCGTTAGTACCATGCACAAGGTACTGGTCAGAGGGAGGCACGAACTTGAAAAGACTGTGCCCATGAATTCAAATTTACAGAGACAAAATCAGATTCAATACCAGATTGGAAGTAAGGAGGCAAAAGTGCTGATGAGGATGGAACTGCTTCCTACCAGCATGAAGGGGGGTGGCAGGAAGAAGTGATCTTTGGGCTGAACCAGTTAGTGTCAGGGAGGATTTGGCTTAGAAGACTGAGTGCTTGCACTCTGGAGGAGAGAATTGCTTTCAGGGGCCCCATGAGCTGCCTGATCTGTATGGAGTGGTGGAAAGAAGGCTAGGAAAGTTTCCTGGCCAGTGGGATGGAGGGGGACCTTTACAGTTAGACTAAGGAGCTAGAACTTATCTAGAGGCAACTGGGACCCATTGAGAGTTTTTGAGCAGGAGTGTGGCATGGCTATGGTCGGTTATGCCTTTATTCCCAGCAGAAGGAAAAAGTTGGGAGTCTTTGCACCATATCCCTTAAGGGTGTTCACTCTTGAAGGGGATTGGGGAAGATGCTGTAGAAATTTTGAGGTAAGCAGAGAACTGGAGCAGAGGAAGGAGGAGCTTTGAAAGGCTATGCAGAAAGGGAGTGGCTACCAGGTGCCAGAGTGCCAGGAACAGCAACAGGGCTCACAGTGACAAACGGCACAGGGTGCAGGTGGTTTGTAACTATGGCCCCTGTGCTCGCTGGGAGAGCTTGTCAGTGAGGCAGGGCGACAAGGCAAACTGCCTTGAAGCTCCCACGCATGATTGTCTTAGGTAGACATTCTGCCAGGAGAAGGAGCACAAAGCGTAACAGAGATCAGCCTCGGGCCTGATCAGTCAAGAACGACTTCCCCAGCATAGTCTAGAAGCCAGGGCTTTAGTTGGTGAGTAGGAGGCAAGGCAGAGAGGACTTGCATGATTAGGGACGCTCGGGCTGTATCGGAAGGGCTTTGTGCTAAACAGCCCGGCTCTCAGCCCCCACCCCTTTCCATCCCAGGTGGCTCTGCCCATCCAAGGCCCATTATAACACCACGGTAACTGGGAATCTGGCAAGAAAAACTCTCACAGCATTCTCCACGTTGACCAGAATGTGGGGCCCTGAAGAGGATGCAGGAGTAACACCCTGCATGGTTGTCTCCCCAGCCCACACTCTCCACTGGACTCTTAGCAGAACTCCCGAAGTGCCTCATCGTGTAACCTCCCATGTCTCAAAAGACGAGTCCAGCATTTCTCAGTAGGGAGGACATGGGGCAAACAAACTGATTGGGAAGTGTTCCTGTGAAACTTATCTTGAATCTGCTGTGTTTGCATAGAAAGTGCAGGGTTTTTATTTAGGTTATTTATATGGGGTTGTTTTGGTGGCAGATTGGGGGGCTAAATCCCCCTCCCACAAGCCACCCTTGGTATTCTCCATGGACATGGAAGTAGGAAGGAGCAGAGCGTGTGTATAGACTGGTGATCATCGATGCCATAGGAACTGAGAATGTCATGGATGGGTGGGCGTGTGAGAACACAGGCTTTTGAGGTGCAAATATAATAATGTAGCTGGTGGAATAGAAGGAAACCAGAACTGAGTCTGCAGTTGGAGCTGTTGGTCCTGGCTCTGGAACTTGGGCATGTTTCTTAAGCTTTCTGAGCCCCATCCTTCTCATCTGAGATGTCTACACAGTGCCCACCTTGGTATCGGGCACATCATAACTATTCAATAAATATTAGTTCTGTCTCCTGCCCACTTCCTTCCCCTAAGCCTGTCCTTCTTGCAGGGTTCTTGTGAGGGATGATGACCTCGTGTAAATGAATGTTCCTTAAAAAATACAAAGCATTATGTAAGTATGGGCTTACTTTTACTTTTTCATTTCTAACATTTCCTTTTAAATTGTTCCATTAATTGCTATTGCAGTAACGGCACCTGCTACCCTTTATTAGGGTACATGTTAGGCACATACTGTGATTAATATGTGAATATGTGATGCAGCTAATTGCTCTATGGCATTCACACTTAATTTCAGTTGACACAACTCCATGAGGAAGGTTCGATTATCCCCATTGTATAGATGAGGAAATTGAAGCTTCATGTTCTTTGTAAAAATAAAATATAAAGAAGAAAAAAGTTAAACTATCTGTAATGATATTACCCCAAGTTAGTCATGTTAACATTTTGGTGTATTTCTTTGTGTTCTTTTTTCCCTATGCATACACATACGCGCGTAAGTAATTTTTAAAATTGGGATCATATTCTATAAACCGTTGACACCGTGTATTTAAATCATAACATTACATGATGGTGTTTTTCTTCTAAAAATTAGTTCCACTATGCTTTATTCTGCAAAGACTTTGAGGTAACAGACAACAAAAAAAGCATACGGTAAAATAATCATAAAGTGTAAACAAAACTTCAGAACTGGGGAAAGGAAGAACAGAAATATGGGAAGCAAATGGATCTAGGAAACTGCTAGAAGCAGACTTTGAGCCAAGAATTTGAGTGCACGTTTACTGGCAAGTGCAAAGGATATAGGCAGGTGAAGGGGGAAGTGATACAAGAAAGGTAAATGAGTCAATATGGGGTGTGCTATTAGGCAGAAACCACAGTGGGCAACTGGTACTTAATCCCAAGTGGAAGCTTGAAAACAATGCAAAGCTCATGACCCAGGATTATCCCAGGCAAGAGAGCTGGGGGTATTTATATACCCACACCTGTCAGTAATTGGTTAAAAGCTGCTTGAAGGGCAGGGGAAGCTCAAGGATATAATTCCCAGATACTTCTGGCCTGATTTTTCATGGACAGCCCAAGGGTCGCCCTCTGACAAAGATATAGGCATTGGCCATTTGAAGTTAGGCTGTGTGCCCTGAAATGGTAAAAGGGATCTCATGGGTGTAGACAGGGCATCAACAATGACTATTCAAGCTTCGGATTTGGCTGCAAGCTCCATGGCAGAGTCATGACCTGTACTGGAATTCTTATGATCAGGAGAAAGGAAGCATAAACCTTTTCCTAGTACCTCATCCTCAAAAATATCTTCCCCTTGGCATTTTATGTAGGAGCCACTGCCTAGGACAGTGGATGATGTTGACAAACACCGTTTTCCTGGAAAATGCAATTGAAGATTTCATGTAACTGTTGTCTAGTTGAGACCTTTGATTTAAAAGTCAGAGCAGACTGGAAAACAGTTTGGCTGTTTCTCAAAAGGTTAAACATAGAACTACCACATGACCCAGCAATTCTACTCCTAGGGTATGTATTCAAAAGAACTGAAAGCAGAGACTGAAACAGGTATTTGTACACCAATGTTCATTGCAGCCTCATTCACAATAGCCAAAAGGTGGAAACAACCCAAGTGTCCATCAACAGATGAGTGGATAAACAAAACGTGGTACACACAAGCAATGGAATACTATTCAGCCATAAAAAGGAATGAAATTTTGATGTATACTACAACATGGATGGACCTTGAAAACATTATACTTAATGAAATAAGCCAGACACAGAAGGACAAATATTACATAATTCCACTTATATGAGGTACCTAGAATAGTCAAATTCCATAGGGCTGGAAAGTAGAATAGAGGCTATCGGGGCTGGGAGAAGAAAGAAGGAAGAGTTGTTGTTTAATGAGTATGGAGTTTTTGTTGAGGATGATAAAGTTTTGGATGTAGATAGTGGTGATGGTTATACAACATTGTGAATACGTTTAAAACAACTGAATTGTACAATTATGAATGGTTAAAATGATAAATATGTGTATTTTACCACAATTTATAAAGAGCAGAATGTTAAAACACAATGCAGGGATGTTGATTTGAAATGCTCAGAGAAGTAGATTGACAGTATATCCTGTAAATAATCTTCTGTAAATATCTTTTCTCTGAAATAGGCTTTTGCTAAGAATGTGTTTCTATGTTTGCCTGTGTGTTTACAATTCAGCTTCTGCCCAAAGAGGATTTGAGGTTATTTGTGTATGATACGGTCAGGCTAGGCTTAGGGTATGCCGTGGCAACAGGCTCCCCCAAATCTCAGCAGCTTAACACAACAAGAGTTTACTTCTTACATCCACAAAGCCCACGGTGCGCACGGCGACTCCCCAGGGCAGCCGTCTCCTGTGTTGGCTCAGTGTTCCAGGCTTCTTTTATCTTGTGTCTCCTCTTCATCAGCATGCATTCCGGGACTGCCCAGGAAGGGCAGGAAAAGGCTGAAGACTGGAGCACCAGCAATTAAATGACCACCACCTGGAAGTGACACAAGTCACCTCCACGCACATTTCATTGGTCAAATGAAGTCACATGGCCTCACTCAACTTCAACGACTTTGGGAAACACACTTCTCCCAGGAGTCCAGAATTGGATAAGACTCGATTTTGGTGAACAGTACGATGTCCTCCACACATGCATACATCCAGTGCACTAGAAATGGATACTAGTGGATTTAAAACACTGGGGAGATGAGAAAACATGAGTAGGATAGGACAATTAAGCCACAGATTGTTAATACACAGAGATACATGTCTAGAGGACTTGCATAATTGCCAAAAGCGAGCCCCAAATTTGGCTCTGAGTTTTTCAGTTGTCAAAATTAAGAGGCAAAGACAACCGT